TTCTAATTTAGGTGAATGCCCTTCTAGAGGGAGTGAGGGAGTACATGTCGATGTTTGCAGATGAAGTAAAGTTTATGAGGAAAGTGAGAACTGAAGAGGACTGTAGGGTGCTGAAAGAAGACTTTGACAAACTTCAGGAACAAACAGATAAATGGCTGCTGGAATTCAATCCATGTATAAGTGTAAAGTAATAAAAATGAGTAAGGGAGATGGAGATCTGTATTTAACTACACCATAAGGGGGAAGGCAATTACAAGAAACAATAAAAAGAAAAAGAGCTGTGAGTAGACATCATCCCAACACTAACACCAGAAGCTCATATGAACAGGATAACATTGCTGGGATGTTTGCAAACATAAGAACATTGTTTACAAATTTAAACAATGAGGCTTGCAGGGTCATACACTTTGCCAGTGTGAGACCATCACTTGAGTATGCAGCACCAGCATGGAACCCACACATTGTAAAGTACAAAAAAACTTGAAAAAGTACAGAGGTTTCCAACTAGATTAGTACTAGAATTGAGAGGGCTATGAAGACAGGATGAGATAACTCATACTCACAACCTTAAGAGGAGAAAATAAACAAGAGGGGGATATGATCACTACATACAAGATCATGAGGGGAACAGAGAAAGTGCCCAAAGTAAGTCTATTTAAATTAAAATGAGGTAGGACAAGGGGACATCAGTGGAAGCTTCAGTCTTAGAGATGCAAGCAAGTTGTCACACCTTGTACAAGTGGTTGGCAAGTGGAATGCATTGAAGGAGCTAAGTATAAGTGGCTAGAAGACAGGGCTAGACCTCACTAGACCTCACTCCCCCATAGTCACTGATAGGTAAGCATTAAAAGATATGCACTTTCACAAATATTGTGGTAGATGGTTGGAAAAAGTTCAGTGAGAAGGTGGTGGAGGCCAAAACTGTCAGTAGTTTCAAAGCATTATATGATAAAGAGTGCTGGGAAGACGAGACACCATGAGCGTAGCTCTCATCCTGTAACTACACTTAGGTAATTACTTATGCCAGTGACAACCACATCTCCACACTCACTTATGTCAATGACAAACACATCTCCACACTCACTTATGTCAGTGACAAACACATCTCCACACTCACTTATGTCAGTGACAACCACATCTCCACACTCACTTATGTCAATGACAAACACATCTCCACACTCACTTATGTCAGTGACAAACACATCTCCACACTCACTTATGTCAATGACAAACACATCTCCACACTCACTTATGTCAATGACAAACACATCTCCACACTCACTTATGTCAATGACAAACACATCTCCACACTCACTTATGTCAGTGACAAACACATCTCCACACTCACTTATGTCAGTGACAAACACATCTCCACACTCACTTATGTCAATGACAAACACATCTCCACACTCACTTATGTCAGTGACAAACACATCTCCACATACACTCATGTCAGTGACAAACACATCTCCACACTCACTTATGTCAGTGACAAACACATCTCCACACTCACTTATGTCAATGACAAACACATCTCCACACTCACTTATGTCAGTGACAAACACATCTCCACATACACTCATGTCAGTGACAAACACATCTCCACATACACTCATGTCAGTGACAAATACTGACATGCACTTATGTCAGTGACTCGAACAGTAATATGGCAAACAATAGAGTTCCTGTAATGAATAAAGTATGCAAATGATGAGTCACAATAACGTGGCTGAAGAGATGATGACCAAACCACACATTAGAAGATGAAGAAACAACAACATTTTGGTCCATCCTGGACCATTATTAAGAAGTGAGAGACCTGATTATGGTCCAGGACGGACTGAAATGTCGTCGTCTCTGCATCTTCTGAATTGTGGTCTGGTCATCATGAATAAAGTATCATTTATGCTTGTGATTACAGTTTCAAACATGAATGACAAGAGCCGTAACATTCCATGACTTTAGTGTAAAGTTTAGTACAGTATTTGCTTTAATAAAGCAAAGAAACACAGTGTACTCATTCACATATAATATACTAACTTTGACTAAATTAATTAGAAAACATAGGAGTGAAAAAATATGGAATGAAAATTAATGCAGTGGGTTCTACAAGGAATTATTACAGTATCACAACAACTGGATATACTCAAGAAAAGAAGCTGAGAAAATAATGAAAAATTAAAGCTTGAGCTATATGTGAGAAAGCTGCATGAACCCGCAAGTCATAGATCACTAAGAACTCTATTTGACCTGGCCAGGTTTCGAACCCATACCATTCAAGATCACCCCTAAATATAGACAGTACTGTGACCACTGCACCAATAATCGTCTATACTGTATATCAAAGAGTTTAGTCATCTAATAAAGAGCCAAGCAATACTGTTATTGTATACAAATTATATGGAGGCACTTGATGTTTGCATTAAAATATGCAGCCAAAGGAGTGTACGAAAATATTGAAGACAAGGTCAAGGTGGAATACAACCCAACATGGCAGTGTTGACGACAGGTCAAGGTGGAATATAACCCAATGTGGCAGTGTTGAAGACAGGTCAAGGTGGAATATAACCCAAAGTGGCAGTGTTGAAGACAGGTTATGGTGGAATATAACCCAAAGTGGCAGTGTTAAAGACAAGGTCATGGTGGAATATAACCCAACATGGCAGTGTTGAAGACAGGTCAAGGTGGAATATAACCCAAAGTGGCAGTGTTGAAGACAAGGTCATGGTGGAATATAACCCAACATGGCAGTGTTGAAGACAAGGTCATGGTGGAATATAACCCAATGTGGCAGTGTTGAAGACAAGGTCATGGTGGAATATAACCCAATGTGGCAGTGTTGAAGACAAGGTCATGGTGGAATATAACCCAATGTGGCAGTGTTGAAGACAAGGTCATGGTGGAATATAACCCAATGTGGCAGTGTTGAAGACAAGGTCATGGTGGAATATAACCCAATGTGGCAGTGTTGAAGACAAGGTCATAGTGGAATATAACCCAACGTGGCAGTGGTGAAGACAAGGTCTTGGTGGAATATAACCCAATGTGGCAGTGTTGAAGACAAGGTCATGGTGGAATATAACCCAATGTGGCAGTGTTGAAGACAAGGTCATGGTGGAATATAACCCAATGTGGCAGTGTTGAAGACAAGGTCATGGTGGAATATAACCCAATGTGGCAGTGTTGAAGACAAGGTCATGGTGGAATATAACCCAATGTGGCAGTGTTGAAGACAAGGTCATGGTGGAATATAACCCAACGTGGCAGTGGTGAAGACAAGGTCTTGGTGAAATATAACCCAACGTGGCAGTGGTGAAGACAAGGTCTTGGTGGAATATAACCCAATGTGGCAGTGGTGAAGACAAGGTCTTGGTGGAATATAACCCAATGTGGCAGTGGTGAAGGTTGAGTCATATGTTTCAGCCACATTATTGTGACTCTCTCTACATTTAACTTGTATTAGACTTCACTTCATATGGCTAAACCTCTTCCTTTTTATATTTCTTTCTTGAGAAATATGTATACAATAGCATGGGATTTGCAAAAAGGTTTTCGAACATGACACAGCAAAGTTTACAGAAATTGGCTGTGACAGCTACTGAAGCTTAACGATGTAGCATAAGTTAACAACAAAGACAAAAACCCAGCATGTCAATTACCAGTGTTTTGGCCTCTTGCAAAATGGACTACAGAAGTAGGAAACATTAAATGTAATGAAAAATCAGCAACATGCCATATAGACATGCATGCAAACCCCAGTGCACTCAACAACAATAAACTCTGAATGCCCCTAACCACAGGGTGATGTAGAGGAGTCAGAGACTTGTGCATTACCCAGGGTGAGAAGCCCTACACAGTAGGACCAGCCTCTCAGGGGCAAACTTCTTAACCCACCAGAAAAATCAGTCTGTAAGGGCAGGGACAATGCCAAATGATCTCTTAGGGAAGGGCTGCCCTAAACACATGCAACTTGGGGCAAAGAAGAAACCAAGTTCGCATAACAAGTGCGGCTTGAAACACACACACACATGAAAGAAATACTAAAATCGGGAACAAAACACAAAACCATCATAGGATAGATAAGAGTCCAAAGGATGGTCCTTGTTTATCTTGGAAAGAACAGGATCAGTCAAACCCAGTGACTTGAGGAGGTCCACCCTCATGGACATCAGCTCTGGACTGAGGCAAAGATGACGAGGAAGCAGGGAGCTTCCAGTGGTGCTGCCACCTGTCAACAATCAGCCATAACTAGCTACTTGGTGAATCATTTGCAGTGTCGTTTGGCTGTTTCAGTGCTTTTTCTTCTGTGAACCTTGTAGTTGTATATACTGCATCACTAACTTTCTGGGTGTTTCCAGTGAGTGATCATAACAATGCCCTGCTACCTGTATCTCTGTAAGGAGGCCAGGTTGCGGCTCATGTGACTCGGCAGTGGCAAGATATTTAAACGACCTACTTTCTTGCAGCCAACATTTGGACCATCCAGAAAATTTAAGTGCCTCCCACCCCAAAATAAATATAATTATCCTGTTTCCAAAATGCCAGACTTAAATTTGTGTAGGTACAGCATGTAAAGTTATTTTTGTTGAATGCAATTGTCAACAGTGAAAAATCATTATAGTATTGACTGATTGACAATATAGTATTGGCAGTCACCTGCGATACTTTATTACTGAATAGATACATTTACAGTATACTAATAAATAAATAAATATAGTACTGTAGATAAACACAGTACATAATGTATAGTAATTGAATCAAAATTAAAAAAAAAAAATAATATTGGTATTTGTCTGAATAATAATAATAAAAATGGAAGAAATAAATGAGAGAGATTGGACTCTCTTAAAACTCCAGATGGAAAATAGCTAATTAATGTTTTCCAGAATATGAGCCAAATACGAATATGTAAGACATCACATAAATCAAATATGTAAGACATCATGAAAATCTTGAATTTATTGCATTAATGGCAATTGTTGTGAATATAAATACATTAGTATGTTTTGAAGTTTATTTATTATGAAATATTGATCAGTGTTTCATAATTTTTTTTAGGCTTTGTGCATGAGTACTACTGCATGCAAATACACAAGGAATAATACAGCTAAAATTTACTTATCACACATGCCCAGTATCTCAATGAAATGCTTAATTTTTTACCAGTCTTATATGATTATATATTTCAATTTTGTCTCATCATTCACCTACCTACTCCCACCCACCAACTCCCCCACCCCAACCACAGCAAACACACACACACACACAAACACACAATGTCATTATGTTCCACATGTAATACATTATCATAACCCTGTTTCCAACTTTTGTGATGTATGAAGGCATCAACCTGGAGAAAAATGTGGAACAATATAGCAAAAGAAGAATATAGATGCTGAAAACAGTATATATCACTCATCTATTCATCATACCATTTATGCTACATAGCATCAAGGATAAACAAGAACCAACATACTCTGGCAAGCATTCACAGCAGTATTCCACTGCTTCATAAAACCAGGCAAATTGCCCTGTACTTTGCTACTGTATTACAAACACATTCATTTACTCCCTATTTACAGCTTCCACCTGATCTTGTTTCTTACCATATTACATGTGCTGATCACTCAATCCCCAATTTCTCACCCTTTCACCCTGTGCGAACATCTTGCTCATAGCCGCCTTCTCCTCCACCTACCCTCCAATAAACTCTCTTCGATAGTGTATCATCATCAACATGCCATAACCATCTTGGTACTCTCTCCTCGATCTTGCAATTCACTGACTATTGTACTTCACATCTTTCCTTTACATTTCATTCCTTTCCCTATTTTTCTAACACGAAATAGGCTTCTCAGATTATCCATTTCTTTTTCTATAATGTTTGATGTTTCGTGTATATACCACAGTATCGTCTCTCATCCATACATGAGTCAGGACTACCAGTCTGGCAGCCCTCTAGATGCATATATCCTATATTCTTCTCTAACCACAACTTTCATTATAAGAACACAGTTCTTTCCTTAACTATCTCTGCTCTCAACTTTGATTACATAAACTCCACTTTTATCTATCACCCTTTGCTAAAAGAACTGTACTGTGTCATCTGCATACATAAACTCTGCCTTCACTACAAGTTTGTTTAAATCCAAATATCTGATAAATGCACCCTCTTCCATCCTCCATGGAACCCACTTTGTTTACCACTAATCAATATCCCAGTAATTTTCATTACTCTTTCAGCCACTATTGTGTCATACACTCTGCTCACTGCACTTACTAAATTAATGCTTATATAATTCTTGCAATTACTACATTCTCCTTTATTTCTATACAGAGGTACTATAATTACTATCCCATAATTTCTTTACAATTCACTACAGTCACCAAATTTGTTTATATACAGATATAGAATACCTTAACAGCCAACCTATCCACACTTAGCACCATTATATTGACTCTTCCTTGGAGTAATGAGGTTTGTACATGTCTGGTTATCACAAAACTACAGTATAAGTACTTCAAATTTTGCACTTGTCAAATCATGAAAACAAGCAGCATCAACACCTGTAGTTATCCCACATTTTTACTTCTTCACTCATGTACAAACCCTTTCCAAGGATATATATTAGCTAAAATACAATCTTGCCTCCTCCTCACTCCATTAAATCACATTCACATCAATACAGTACCTCTTTTGTCACCTTCACTCATTAAAACTTTAACATCTTCTACTTACTTCTACTCTCCTCTTCACCATTTAACATTCTTCCATGCTTATCTTTAATAATATAATATTTCCATCTACTCCTTCCTCCACCAGTCTTCTGATTGTATTTTCTTACTTCTTCCCTAAGAGATTCCTGCTTTCTGAAAAAAGTTTCTTTAATTTGTCTTCCTATCTCCTCATTTGCTCTTTCTCATCTAACTACTCTTTCAAGTACAATACTTTTAATTTTCATTATTCTCCTATTTTCTTGCATATTTCTCTTCTTCACTTTATATTCATAAAATCCATTTCTTTTTCTTATTATCAACTGCTGATGACACCTCTTCATCCCAGGAAGCAGTTACTCTCATCTCCACACACTTCAATGGCATTCCTTAAGCAAACATTCCTCATAGTGCCTACATGGCACTAAGATCCATTTGTTCATAGTCTCTTAATACAACATCACTATCAATCTTCTTTTGTACTCATCAATAAGGTCACTCTCACTGAACTTTTATACTTTCGCCTCCTGGATCCTTGTAAGGAATAAATCACCTCTCATCACTTTAACATCATCTCTAATAGCACCAACATGTGATCAGACAAACCTCAAAATATTCCTCAAAATATTCCCCTCAATGCTCTCAAATTGCATACTTTCACATACTTCACTCAACAAGCACATAAATATTCTTTTTCTACAATTTCATAATTTAGGCTGTACCATGTATATTTGTGTATAGCCTTATGTTTAATATATGTATTAGTAATACATAACTCTCTTTCATTAAATATATAATATTCTCTCAAGAAACAAATGGACAATAAAGATTTAACAGCATAGTTTTCGTCTCCATCATAAAATATTCTCTGAATGAGTAACAAGTGAGCTCGTCTCCAGCACTTATGGAAACACAAATGAAAACCCCAGCGTCTATCTTTACCTACACTCTGATTGCATGCTACTCCATGTACAGTATTACTATCCTCTAAACAGATTCTTGCTTTCCCCAATTAACATTTTTTGCTTTCCTCTTTCCAAACTTTTGTATCCTTCACATATCTGCTGAGACAACCCTTATGAGGTGAGAGGAGAAAACAAATTGAAGAAGAAAGTGCAGATTGTTGGTCACTAAAGTGCTGGGAAAAAGACTCCACATGTACCATCTTGCTTGAGTGTGGGGGTAACAGCATATATATTTATGGATAGACAAGCATGGTGTATAATCCATGGGTGGAAAGACTTGCATGAAAGGTGTATTCAACAAACCTTCTCTCTACAAAGGAAGGCAAAGAAGAAAATTCAGTCAGCAAATATCTTTCAGAAAACAAGTAAAGGCCACTCTATGACTGCCACTATTTGTACTTTGAGTCCAATTTAAAAAAAATATAAATAATAGTTATATAGCAAATGTATACAGTATAGACAAATTTACATGCTAAAACTGTTCATGAATATTTCCCTAGACACTATTAAACAAAATGCTTTTGAGATAACTTTCTCTCTTTAAGTACAGGTAGGCTCACATTCAAGATGTTTCAGAATTCGATTTTTACAAAAACTAATGTACCTCAAGCTTCAACTCAACTTTAACACCAAAAGTTATAAATCAAAATAAGTTAAACCTCAGCCTGTTACTTTATAACACTAGCAATAAATAAATTATGAACGTTTTCATAAAATTCGTTAAGTTTTATTTAAACATTTCGTCTGAAGTTCATAATTTCTTCTGGCTTGAAATGGTAACGATATTTTATAAGTAATCACACCGTACACCAATCTTCAATTTAAATCCAAAGTATGCAATACTAACGACAGAGCTAGTCCAGTAGCGGTTCTTTATTTCTATCTTTTAAAAGTCATATCTTTTCGTTTATTACTTTTTAAATTATTAAGATTTAAAAATAAATACTAAGTTCAAATGTCCTGACATAATTCACTTTAATTTAAATAATATCAATATATTCTTAACTACTTTCTTTAACAAATCATCTTGCTGATTAAATACACAGATTTTGGCACTATGAAAGGGGTTAAAAAGGACATAACAAATAATGATTGGCAGCCATCAGTATAATAACATTTATTATTGCCCTAAGTTTCGACATACCATTCACGTCTGGTAGCTGATAATGTAAGGTATATAGGAACAACAATACCAACAACACTCTAAATATATATATATATATATAGTTGAGTGGCAGGAAAGGAGATGGGAGTAAAGAGACAACAAGCCTACAGGATCTGTTGCCAGAACGGTAATGGCAGCAACTAAAATAAAGCAAATATCACAGAGAACCAAAACGTGAAGAATTAATAAGCATCACTGGGGTATTATCACATACAGGCAGTCTATATGACTAAAATCAACTGACTAAAACCAAGCAATGATGCAAGGAGGGAATTTTTTCCATTGCTCTTAAATTTAACTCAAACAGACCAAAACGGAGTGTGTGTCCTTGAGAAGGGTATAATAATGTGGGCATAATCTCGGACGTGGCGCTGTGGTGTCAGCATAATATATATGACAGGGGCGCCTGCACTCCATCTTTGGCTGGTGATCACAGAATCAGTGCCAGGCATGGCGGCACTGGTCGCAACAACACAACAAATACAAGTCCCTATATAATATGTACGTCTCTATGCTCTAGTATCGCCTAGTGATATCACAGTCAGTTGGAAGGGGGGTTGTTCAGATCGAGAGCAAACTCGGCTCGGTGTGCAGCTGCAGCAGCGGTGGCAGCGGTGGTACTAGTAGTTACAGTCCCAGGAGTGGCGGTTACCACTGCAGCAGCTGTAGTCACATGATTAGGGCGGCGGCAGCCCATCTTGGATCGGTGCAAATGACGGTGGAGATCCCAACGTCGGGAAAATACCTTACCACATGAGTGACAAGTGTATGTTCCCTTGTGCACATGGCGGTGGTGGTGGAGAGACATGGGGTGGCGGAACACTTTGTGGCACTCTGGACATGGGTACAACTTTGTCTTGTACTCTGGTGAGGCCTCCAACATGCCCCGTTCTTCCTTTGTCTCTCGAACTGTCATCATTCCAGCCACCTTATCTGAGGCCAAATCTAGTGCATCCTCAGGGTACACCAGCCCTGAGGCTGCAGCTGCCGCCACTGCCACTGCAGGGTGAATCTTCACCTCAAAAGTTTCGGTGGCATCTGTGACGGCAACATGGTTGATAGGCGTAGTTGAAACAGCAGTAGTCATTTGCTGTTGCTGCTGTTGGTGGTGTTGGTGGTGGTGGTGGTGGTGATGAAGCTGTTGGTGATGTTGGTGGAGGTGTGGTTGATGCTGTTGTTGTTGTTGTTGGAGGTGGTGGTGGTGGTGATGGTGAAGCAGCGGTTGATGCAGGGTTCCGTTGGCCTGGGGTAGAGGTGGCCGCAGCGACAGGTTGAGAGCCTCACAGACAGCACCGCCCGGCGCTGCTGCAGAGGAGAGGATCCACGTGAGTATGAGTCAGTCCAGGCTCAGGCATCATCACCAACACCGCCCGTCTATTATCATCAATCATTATGACATCATGAGCATTATGATCACTTTCCCAGCGTGGTTGCCAAACACCAACAGCTCCTGAGTGAGAGTAGTAAACTTGAGGCAGACTGACCAGAGTGGCCCAAGGCCTTTCCCAAGCCACCCTCAGCCACACAAGGCCAAACAGGCTCCCTCAACACCTGGCCATCCCGACAAGCAGCAGCAGGCAGCCACGGGGGCCACAGCACACGGGCCAGAGCACAAGACACTGTCCAAGCTAAGCCAATAGTCCTCTTCGCGCCGATGGCCACTGTCAGTGGGCGGTCATTTGGCCACGTGGCCATAGGATCCCTACATGGCCAAAATGGTCCCTATTGCCCTACACTCACCAACTAAACTTAGGCCCTGGACTACAGTACAGAGAGGAGCATGCACTAGACTCTGGACTACAGGTCAACCCATAAAATAAAAACTGTTAGACCTGCAATCCAAAGTCTACAAGAATCAAACAAACAAGGGATACTAATAGGAAACCATCAGTTTAAATTAACAGTTTAGGGATGAAGAAACTGATGTTTTCTTCTTAATCAAAGACAAATATCACATCATGCAGAACAAAAGCACTGCCCTCCACAGCAGTTATCAGTATACAAGCAAATTACTACAATTATCTCTTTGCCTAGAAAAAACCCACATTTTGAAATATTAACTTTTGCTCTCAAGAATATATGCTAGGGTGTTTGTTCTGGTATGTGATATAGCTGTAATCTACTCACACACATGAAGCATACACTATACCAATGTAGAGTATGCCAAGTGAAGTAAAGACAGCTATATCAACATGAACGGGAAAGTGAATCGCACACCACACATACACATACTGTATCTCCATCTTCTTAACTCCAATCCAACTTTTCACATTAATTATTTACTGAAAATTTAATTTTCAGCATGAAAACAATACAAAAGTTAAAAAGAAACTCAAACACATATATAGACCTTTAAAGTTAACTGAATTATAGAAGTAAACAAAGAGCTAATAAACCTATTCTAGGAAACATTACAGCAATAACAACCAAACTTCTAACCAACCTAACTTCTAACCTAACCAACCTTCTTCAACCAACTAACTTCACAACCAATAAGTCATAGATGAAAGATCAACAATAATTACCAAGCACCTTCAATGTTATCCCTATGTCATAGATGCTATTTCAAAAACCACCAAAAATTTAGAATGTTAAATATTCAGAGGCATGCTATAGTAGCATTACTATAAATGTGCCCCACTGCAGCACATCTATAACTACCCAAATATTTTTAAATGAGCAATAAATTCCAAAGCCATTTAGCAATCAACAAATTAAATGACAAAAGTTGCAAAGCAATTCCAAGTGGTCCCATTGCTCAGTCTACTTGCAACATAAAATAAATCACGCTTATAATGAACTGACAAATCAATTTATGAAATACTACAAAACTTGACAAATCTGTGCAATAATGTATGTTAAACACCAAAGCAATAATTTGCAATGTGAAAGGAAAATTTAATGAATCAATTTTGAATATAACGTTTGTGAAAACTGGCCATCATTAGCCAAACAATTATTTTTTTAACACAGATTAAACAGATGTTGCACAGAATACCATTATGTGAATAAATGCCAAAAATTTAAAAGATTCATTGCTAATCCTGCATTAACAGAATAATTTGTTTGAGAAGTAGTGTCAATATCTAACAGAAAAGACACTTGAAACAGGAAGTTAACAAATGAGGACTAACTATACATAGTGAACCCAAGACATGATCCAACAGTAGCAGTCTAAGTGGTACAGAGAAAATCTAATTGCTCACAAGATAAACAGACCTTCAATGTGCACGTATGGGGCTACACTCAAGTCAAGCAATATACAAGCATTCTAAGCTACCAGTCAGAGTACTTGCAATACTTAAATCTTAAGTTAGAATGTATTAAATATTTAAGGTGCAAACTATGTATAAACATTCTATCAAAATTCTACATTAGAAAGGCTTTTCTGGTAATCTTAATGCAAATATATATATGCACTAGCTTGAGTGCCCTCCTCCGTACAGACAAGAGCTCATACAGCACAGGACAGAAATACCAGTAGGTGTATGAATTAACACTCTTCTGTACTGCATTGCTGGTATTAAAGCATACAACTGGTATGTGCATCTTGAGAACCAATCCTCTTCAAATCTTTAACTCAATGATGACAAGCTCAACCACTGATCTTTGAGGTGCATCTATGACAACAAAGGAGAAAATAGCACAAGAGCCCACCTGGTTTAAAGCTCTAGTATATCCCCACCTTTATGGAGACACTGAAGCAATGAGAGGGTGTAGAAAACTCTCTTAGGTAAGGTACAAAGAGGCAAAGACATACACAAATACCACTTCCCAATATGGACAGATTTGTAGTGAAAGTGCAATTAATGTGATTAGCCATTTAAGTCAGTAACCAGATAATAGAAGTGTCTAAACAAAACTACTCACAAATAAAATACATAATGTATATGTAAATACTATTTATTTATACAGGTATATATATATACCTACATATATATATATACATATGTATGTATGCATGTAATTACTTAAGTGTAGTTACAGAATGAGAGGTATGCTCTTAGTGTCCCGCCTTCCCAGTACTCTTTTGTCATATAACGCTTTGAACTACTGATGGTTTTGGACTCCACCACCACCTTTTCACTTAACTTGTTCCAACTGTCTACCACTGTTTGCAAAAGAAAACTTTATAAAAAAAAAAAATCTGGCACCTTTTATTTCTATAGCTTGAATCTGTGTCCTCATGTTCTTGAAGTTACTGGTTTCAGGAATTCCTCTTTGTCAATTTAGTCGAATACTGTTACTTTGTAAGTGGTGATCATATCACCTCTTTTTTTTTTCTTCTATTTTCTATCTTTGGCATATCTAACACCATTAGCCTCTCCTCGTAACTCTTATTTTTCAGTTCCGGAAGCCATTTTGTAGCATGCCTTTGCACCTTTTCAAGTGTATTTATGTTTTTCTTGCGATTGCAAGACTTCGTTAGTAACACTCCTCCAGTCAGATACATTGCCTTTGATTACCAACCTTATTTTCCTGGCAGTAAGAAAATTTTTCAGTCATGTGAGAAGTCTCCCTGTCACCCCTCCAACATGTTCTAATTTCCAAAACAACTACTTGTGTGGAACTCTGTCCAAATCCTTTTTTAGGTCTAGATAGACACAGTCAACCCAACCATCTCTTTCCTGTAGAATCTGTGTGGCTCTATCATAAAAACTAATTAAATTTGTTACACAGGATCTGTATGTTTGAGAACAATACTGTCTGTACATTATTATGTCATTACTCTCCAGTTCTACCCATTTGGTTTTAACTATTTTTTCTAATGTTTTGACAACCATGCTTGTTAATAAGAAAATCCACAAGAGCCATGATGAGGCTTCGAACTATGCGCTGGGAATTCCCAGAAGCACTCTCTGGATGACTAGGCCACAACATGATAAAAAAAATTGCATCCTGAGATTCTATTGAATCCACAACAGCATCACAGAATCACGTTATGGTGATATCTTTGTATTGAAAGTAGGGCATCAGAGGTAGACTGGACGACAGAGCCAGAGTGCCATGGGAAATTGCAAACCTTAGGAATCCTTGTGGGTTCAGCAGAACCCCAGGTTGCAATTCTTTTGACCATATCATGGTCTAGTTGTCTAGAGCATTCATTTGGAAATACCCAGCACATAGTTTTGAATCCTCTTCTTGAGGTTATCTTGAGATGATTTCGAGGCTTTTTTTAGTGTCCCCGCGGCCCGGTCTTCGACCAGGCCTCCACCCCCAGGAAGCAGCCCGTGACAGCTGACTAACACCCAGGTACTTATTTTACTGCTAGGTAATAGGGGCATAGGGTGAAAGAAACTCTGCCCATTGTTTCTTGCCGGCGCCTGGGATCGAACCCAGGACCACAGGATCACAAGTCCAGCGTGCTGTCCTCTCGGCCGGCCGGCTCCTCATCACAGCTTCTGTGGATTTTCTCACATATATCACATTATTGATTTCTCTGTGTACACTTGTTAATGATACAGGTCTATAGTTGAGAGGGTCTTCTCTGCTGCCATTTTTATCAACTGGAACTGTGTTTACCTTTTTCCATACACAGTATCTGTTAAGGTTCCTTTGCATAATGATGTCAGGAATATCAATTGGAGTGGAATGCTCAGCTCATTTGCACATTCTTGCAGCAACCAAAGTAAAATTCCATCTGGTCTTCCAGTCACAGTCTTTATTTCTTCCTAGCCCCTTGAGTAATTTCTCCACTCCATCTTGAGATACAGTACACCTATGTATTCAATGGTGTTCTCTGGAATTGGCATTGGGTCCGGCTCTCTGAAATACTCATTTTGTACAAACACATATTGTTACTGTTCATTTAGTATTTCACACATTTCTTTTTCATTCTCAGTAAACCTTTCCCCATTTGCAATCTCTGGATTTTAACCTTTACATGCAGCATGCTTTTAATAAATTTATAGAAAAGGCCTAGATCTGTTTTACATTTGTCCGCTACCCCCTTCTCAAAGTTCTTTCTGCCTCTCTCCTCACTGCTGTGTATTTGTTTCTGGCTTGCTTGTAGTGCTGGTATCTTTGAGGGTTAGGCCTCCTCCTATATTGTACCCATTTTCTTGTCTATTCACCTGGGTTTTAGAAAATACGAACCACAGACCCCATGCGTGTGAGGCAGAAGCTCTATCCACTCAGTTATGAGTAGTCTTAAAAAGATCCATGGGGTCTGTGGTTTGAGGCTCCTAGAGTCCAGGTGAATGGAATGTTTATTTCCACGGAAGTTTAGATGATAATTTACATTTTCTTGTCTTTTCCTCTCTGGCCTGCTCACAATTTCTGCTGAACCAATCATGTTTTCTGGTTCGACATCTCTGTTTTGGTATGAATTTTTGTTTGCCTTTATCATATATTTCACAAAATTTGGCATACATCTCATTTACTTCTGTGCCTAGTAACAAATCTTTCCAATTAAATTCATTAAAGAATTTGCTAATTTCCCCAAAGTGTCCTCTCTTGAAATCGAGTTTATCAACTGTTTCAATATCTCCACTCTTCTAGATTATATCACAAAGCATATTTAATTTTCAACAGGACATGATCACTCTTTCCCAAGGGTAGAAGGTATTGGATGTTAAATATCTCCTCTTCTTTCCTGGTGAATATTAGATCTAGTATTGACGGAACATCTCCTTCCCTCATTCTTGTGGCCTGTTTGACATGTTGATACATGAATGTCTCCAGAATGAGATTTACAAATCTGCCTGTCCAAATGTCCTCTGTTCCTGCTTCATAGGCCTTCCAGACTATTGCTTTCAAGTTGAAGTACCCCAGTGCCAACAACATGATTTATATTTATCTGCTTTTACTATAATCTCTCACATGACCATTATGAGGTCCTCTCATTTGCCATCTAGTTCCTTCTTTGTTCATGTGTTGCTTGCTGGTGGGCTGTAGGAATTTATGATTATCAGTTTATCATCCTGATTCCAAACCTGCAATGCCATTATGTCAATTTCCCGAGGTTTGTCGATTATTAACTCTCTTACCTTCAAGTGTTCTTTCACCAGCACAGCCACATTTCCACCCTTCCTAGTTTTCCTGTCACGACTTTAAACTGAGTCTTCCTGTTCATAAGACATACTGTCTATCCATTATTATGTCATTACGCTCTAGGTGTTCAACCCATTTGGCTTTAACTATTGTTCCTAGTGTTTTGACTACCACGCTTGTTAATGATATGGGTCTAGAATTTAAAGGTTCCTCTTGACTACCATTTTTACAGATTTGTACTATGTCTGCCTTTTTCCATATACTGTATTTGATAAGATTCATGTGCACAAGGATGTCTGGAGCATTATTTGGAGTGGAATGCTCAGCTTATTTAAACATTCTCGCAGCACTCAAGGTAAAACTATCAGGTCTAATTGCTTTATATCTTTTTAGCCCCTTGAGTAATTTTTCAACTTCATCTTGGGAAACCTCTATGTACATTGACCAGATCACACACTAGAAAGTGAAGGGACGACGACGTTTCAGTCCGTCCTGGATCATTCTCAAGTCGATTGATACAACCTCTATGTATTCTATGGTGTGCTCAGGAATTGGCATTGGGTTCGGCTCTCTGAAATTCTCATTTTGTCTAAACACACTTTGGAACTGTTCATTTAGTATTTCACACATTTATTTTTCATTCTCAGTAGTCCAGTTCCCTGTATATATCTCTGGATTTTATCCTTTACATGCAGCTTGCTTTTAATAAATTTATATAAGAGGCCTGGATCTGTTTTACACTTATCTGCAATACCTTTCTTAAAGTTCCTGTCTGCTGCTCTCCTCACTGCTGTGTAAATGTTTCTCACTTGCTTGTAGTGTTGGTATGTTTGCGGGTTAAGCCTCTTCCTATATTGAACTTATTTTCATGTTTTTTCTCTATGGCCCTCTCACAATTTCTGTTGAACCAATCCTGTTTTCTGGTCGCATCTCCATTTTGTTTGAATGTTTGTGTGCCTTCATTGTATATTTTGCAAATTTTGGCATACATCTCATTAACTTCCTTGCCTTGCAACAAGTCTGTCCAATTAAACTCGTTAAAGAATTTTTTAAGATCCCCATAGTGTCCTCTCTTGATATGGAATTTATCAACTATTTCAATGTCCCCCATTATCTTCTAAATCATATCGCAACGCATATTTAATTTCCAACAGGACATGATCACTCTTTCCAAGGGTGGGTGGGTATGTGTGTGTGCAATTCCCTAAGTAATTACCTGAGTGTAGTTACAGGATGAGAGCTACGCTCATGGTGTCCTGTCTTCCCAGCCCTCCTTGTCATACAACTCTTAGAAATTACTGACGGTTGTGTGTGTGTGTGTGTGTGTGTGTGTGTGTGTGTGTGTGTGTGTGTGTGTGTGATTACCTAAGTGTAGTTACAGGATGAGAGCTACGCTCATGGTGTCCTGTCTCCCAGCACTCCTTGTCATACAACTCTTAGAAATTACTGACGGTTGTGTGTGTGTGTGTGTATAATTACATAAGTGTAGTTACAGGATGAGAGCTACGCTCATGGTGTCCCATCTTCCCAGCACTCTTTGCCATATAACTCATTGAAATTACTGACGGTTTTGGCCTCCACCACCTTCTCACTTAACTTGTTTTAAACGTCTACCACTCTGTTTGCGAAAAGGAATTTTCTTATATTTCTTCGGCAGTTTTGTTTAGTTAGTTTAAATCTATGACTGTGTGTGTGTGTGTGTGTGTGTGTGTGTGTGTGTAATATATACTGTATATACATACATACATACATATATGTATATGTATATACACTCTACAATAAGTACAGTATTTACATATAAAACAATTACATTTTATTGCAAGATGACAGCTGATAACATTTAAGGATTCAATCAAATCATACCAAAAGAGAAAAAAGACTATGTATAAACAAAATGTATATATGGAAAGCCGAAGTAGTGAAGCAGAATAAAGAAAACATGAATCAAAGCAAAATTTTAATATCAAACGGAAATACAAAGTAAATAAAGCTAACACGGATAAAAAAATTTAAATATGAAGATAGAAAATTACAAAGAAATGGCATACTGTATTTAAGTTCTGCAATATAAGTACTGTGTAAACAAAAATGTCATGAATGACCGTGAGACATCAGATATCGAGAGAGCCCCGGCAGCACTCGGTTTATTTTACAGGTGTGAGGTGCCTTTATACTGAGAGGCCTGGTGGAGGGCAGGCTGAGGTAAACACACGCTTGGTACTTACCGCCCGGTTCATGAGTACCCACGTTGTCCTGGCTGCCCACTCCTCCTGAGGGCCCGGGCATTGCTGAAGATGTAATTCGTACACTATAGTAAATTTTTGGAATACTCATATATATTTTCATATTTAAAAATTAAATGAATAAATTAAGCAAATGTTAATGCCTAATGAAATTAGGCAAAAACCAGCGTCGAATATAATGAAACGCTATTTTCTGGGTAGAGCCATGGAGGCTCTCTGGTGTTATTGGACTATATTATATTAGCTAATATTAGTATGGGGCTTCAGTCATATGGAGTTGTCATGCCTACCGGGGACCACTAGCCAGAACATAGTCCCCTCAGAGAGGCACAGGGAGCAATGGCCTATGAAACTCTCATGAATGAAAGTATTCATGTCTGCCATTGACTGGGGCTGAGCACCCAGAAAGGTAGGTAAGGTAGGTGTTTCAAAACAGACCCCTCCTGGTATAAATTGGAACCTGAGATCGAACAGGGGCTAGAAACGGGCCCCCCCCCCAAAAAAAAACCAAGCTAACAAGCAACCATATGACTAAAACTCCGTACTAATATTAGCTAATATCAGTCCAATAGCTCCAGGGAGCCAATGGGGCTCCCCACAGAAAACTTTGCTTAATTTATTAAAACCTAAAAGCTCAAACACAAATGTTGATGGTAATTCCATGAAAAGAGGCATTTCCCCAAAAACTATGGCCTAATTATCTGCTATTAAATTTCAGTCACTTGTACATTAAAGTAACTAGATTTTTAATAAGGTCTATTGTAACTCGACCTTATTAAATGTTAAAAGCTTGTATTTTCCCTACTTGCTTCAGAGTACACACTGGCCCACATTTTCTTAGTTTACTTCATATTATTTATATTTGCTCATAATTTTCTACTACAATGAATTTAATTTCTGTATAGTTAAAATAGATTTTAATAAAAACTAAATAGTAAGGTATAACAAAATGTGTTCTGATGTTAGTGCAAGCCATCCTGATGTTCAACCCAAAATACACTTTAGTGTTCTAATGGCACTTGAATGTGTCATCCATGCTCTGATGCTAAAACACAACACTTTAACATTCTTTTCATCTCAAAATTCCTGAAGATTACTTTTTCTAGGATGGTCCCCAGTGTCTCCCTGAAGCTATCTTGCTGAGATTGCTCCATGCTAATACGTAGTATCAGTCACAGAAGTTGTCTGGCATACCAGTACAAAAGCCAGAACCTAGTCCCCTTCACAGAGATGCAGGGAGCAAGTGACAATTTGTCATCCCCAACAGGAAAGCATTGATTGGCCTTTGGCTGGGGGTGTTCTGTTTTGTTTGTACTGGGGTACACTGGGGTTTGAACAATTGCTTATATGGCATGCTATGGTAACCATTTGTAACCTGGAAGTTTTACCTGCATTTTGCATCTGTTCTTTCAGAAAGTGGTCCCAGTGCCTGGGCATCCTGGTTGGTTACCTGCCTTCAGGCCCTGGTAATTTGTTCATAGCTTGGCACTCATTTGGTTGTCATGGAGTTGACCTCCTGGGGCTTTGCTGTTCTTTTGAGACATTATGCCTGGGCTCCATTCTTGTTTCTTCTTCCTCCCTTGCTGGCTTTGCCCTTTGTTTAGTCTGCTTGGGATTGTTGCTTGGCCTTCTTCTCTGGTCCCATCCAATTTGACTGTGAAGGCAGTTGAACTGTTTCTTCCCACAAGGGGTGCAGAGTTTTCACCTTTACAAGCCATCTCATCCTCTATTTCTCCTTAGGCCGAGCCTTCTACTCTGTGTGTGTTGGGTATGAATTGTGGCTCTGCCTCAGGGCCATTTTGTCATGGTTTTCAGGGCTGGGGGGGAGGGGGTGAAGCCTGAGGTGGGTTAATGAATGGCCTTCTACCCTCCTTAGTTTTGTTCATTCTGTGGAGGGTCTTTTACATCAAGTTGATGTGTTTATCCCTCTTTTGTTCTGCTTTCAATTTTCCTCTGTGGCTCCTCCCCCTTCTTGTATTTCGATCCCATGTGCCATCTGGTGCTTGGGGCTCATTTTCTATGAGTTTCAATCATCTCTTCCATGGACCTCGGATATTCAGTGTTCTCTGATTGTGCCTCTGGCATCTTTACTTTTCACTGGCTCTGTTCTACTTTTCCTTCTACTGTATAGTGTTCACTACAGTATGTTGTTATTAGCCGTGCAAATTAGGAACCTAGCCCTCCAGTATTTTCAATATTCATATAATTTGGTACCTCTCTTGTCTCCTTTCCAGACAGTACATTTTGAGAGCTTAAGAGACGATCCCAATAGTTTAGGTGCTTTATCGTGCCTGTGCATGCCGTATACGTTCTCTGTATTCCTCTATTTCGGCAATTTCTCCTCCTCTGAAGAAGAAGGAAGTGTCTGCTGCCTCTCCTCCTCCTTCCAAGATAGTCATATTATTATATTCATTCTCTGTAGTGTAGTTAACTTTAGGAAGCCACCAGAGGCCTTCTTGTGTTGAGTGCTTACCTATCAGTGACTACAGGGGGAGTGAGATCTAGCTCTTTATGCCCTATCTCTTGGCTATTTATACCTGGCAAACTAATTACTTCTCTCAACATTAATGTTTTCATCATATTTAATTTTAAAGTTGTGAATGGAACCAATTCAAAAACCTCTTCCATCAGTGCATTACACTTGCTGACCACCCGTACAGGAAACGAGAACTTTCTTGCATCTCTTCCACACAACTGGGTGTTCAGTTTCCACCAATGTCCCCTTGTCCTACCTCTTTAATTGAAACAGGCTTCCTTTATCCACTTTTTCTATTTCCCTCAAGAACTTGTATATAGTAATCATATCCATTCTGTTTCCTCTTTCCTCTAAGGCTGTAAGGGAGAGAAGGTTCTCTCAGCCTGTCCTCATAGTCGAGACCTTTCCAAATTTTGTAACACACACAATCCAAATTTTTATTTCATACACTAAATTGTAAAATTCTCCCATTACACAAAAGCCTCTTTTCATAATGTTACACTACATTAATAAAAAAAAATAGTGCTAGTGTTCATTTAAAAATAACAAAGACCTCGAAGACAGTAGCCACTTTATTTAACCAACTTACCACAGCAATTATTAATCTGCACAACAATTCTATGCTTAGGCATGCCACCCTTGCTGCTATACCTGCATCTTTAGTTATGCAAGAGTGAGTTTGTGTTCCACTGCCACATTATGATGCAGACTGACGTCCAGAAAAATCTCAATAAACAGGATGCCATTCATGAACAATTAACTTTTCAGCAATGAACTGGATAACTATGGACCAGGTCACACCAAAAGAGAACTCCATAGAATAGAAATTTATAAATGAGGGCAAATAACTATGATTTTTGCCCTCCAATAAAAAGAAGTTTACATTCCTAATGCCAAGGATTTAAATCTTCATCAGTTCTCTTTTTTTTAGGGAGGGCTTCCTTGGGTGGTTTAGGAAACCACTGTGGGGACCCACCAGAAAGAGGTACAGAGGAACTTTGGTACTCGAACAGCTCCCAACCCAAACAATTAGGCACTCGAATGCTATGTTCATACTCTGCAGTCGATCATTTGCTTGGCACTCAAACAAAAATATGTGTAATGGACGAGTCTTACATTCTTGTAAAGCCACTAGTATGCATAGCATTTCGTGGGGTCCTCGATCTTAATTTTCACAGGAATATGACCTGCCAAATCGTTTAACAACAAGGTACCCCATCCACTGCTTGGTAAACAGAGGCATACAGTTAAGAACTGGCGCCTAGTCAATCCTTCCAGAATACGAATCCAGGCCAAATCGCTCGCGAAGCGTGGAGGGCGAATGTTTTACCACCATGCCACAGGGACTGCTTAAGTCAGTTTCCCAGTTGGTGTCATTCAGTGTATACCCTATTAAATTTCTCTGTAAACTTTCTCATGTTTTCTTGGAAACTTGTTAAAATTCTTAGCATAAATAAGTCACAACGGTATCTAAGAAAGTTAATAACAAGAGCCAAATGAAAAGAAAATTACTGTAGTTAGAACCATGACAGATGATAAAGGAACTCATAGCAAAATATGAAAGTGGTGCTTGTGTGTCTGTTCTTGCTACAAATATCATTGGACATGTCTTTTTATAAGAAAAGCATCCAGTAAGCCTCAAGAGGAAAATAGAAAAAGACAGAAAAGAGAAAGAACCCCTGAAAAACAGTTACCTGAAGCTATTATGGTAGGGGACTTTCCTGCTAAACAATAACCTCTTTTTCTCCTCTTTCTCACCACCTTGTACGTATGCCATCAACTCTCTTAAGTGCAGGTAAAGTGAGAATATATTTGCAATTATTTCATTTATTTACTGTGCAGTATTCGTATGTGTATTTTTTGTAGTCTGGAATGAGTTAATCCAATTTACATTATTCCTTATTGGAAAAATTATTCGGTACTTGAACAGATTGACACTTGAATGGCCTTCATTATTGCAGTATTCAAATGTGCATTATTTATTTTCATGGCACATATTGTCATATATTAACACACTGCGTGGTGCACCACAAGGTAGGCCGCACGTTGCCCGTGAGTACACAACCACACTCCAACGTTTATATTCTTTACAGTTTTCTCACCTCAATTTTCGTGCTACGTCGTTGATTTTGGTATCAATTTGATCACAATAGAATGCTCTAAGGGGATATATGCACATAAGATCAAATAGAAGAACATTACCAATACCATAAGATAAAATACATTGTCATGTGAAAAATAACGGCTTTTCGTTACTGTTTAGTCGGTGTTCATTCCCGACATTATTTGTTGAACTATATCATTCGTTTTTGTGTTGCTTTGTGTTTATAAAGGCACTAACAAAAAATACCCGAGGTAAAACAACCGGAACAGGCACACGTTTCGACTCGAGGGGTTCTTGCTAGAAGTTATATCAGGAAGATACAAACTTCAGGAGGGCGCCTGACAGCTGAGCGGACAGCACTTCGGATTCGTAGTCCTGAGGTTCCGGGTTTGATCCTCGGTGGAGGTGGAGACAAATGGGCAAAATGTTTCCTTCACCTTCATGCCCCTGTTACCTAGCAGTAAATAGGTACCTGGGAGTTAGAGAGCTGCTACGGGCTGCTTCCTGGAGGAAGGGGGGTGTAAAAAAAAAAAAAAGGAGGCTTGGTCAAGGACCGGGCCGCGGTGACACAAAGCCCCAAAATCATCTCAAGATAACCTCAAGAGGGGTGGCCGCGGCAGTAACAAGCGTGGTCAAAAAAACCATGAGCCACCCGCGTGGGTGGCCACCCATGCAATGGTGTCATGATGCCGCGTAGGGTATACAGAGAATGGGAAGAGGTTGCGCTCATTTTAAAACAAGTCCCATAATAATCGAACAATAAATGGAATTTTTACAAATATTTTAATTGTTGACGGCATCAACATCATGTCACACACTATGGGTATTGTTTTAATGACTCCGAAAACATCACCACGAAGCAAAAGTGTTAAAAATGTGTTTCTTAAATTAACTTAAAATTCATAAAAAATATAATAGCAGACAAAACTTGGATATGTTTAAAAACCAGTAGTATCTCTATGGGGCAAGTCTCACCCCATTAGTGAAGTAACTTCAGCTCTCATAACTTCAGAATGCTATGGTAACATATCAAGGGGGCAGCCATTCAAAGTATTCAAATGTTTATTTAAATCATCAAACAATATAGCTTGATAATAAACATGCAATTAGCATGAGAATTAACTGTCCGAGGTCTTTGAAACTTATTTTATAGTATAAACTACAACTAGACTGAAAAAGTTTACCACTGCACTTTAAAATAGATTAACATGCACACTAACCTATAGGATACAATAAAGGTTGCCGTGGATCCATACCATCGCCAGTGTGTGATTGTGGGTCAGTACTCATCTCGGACGATTCACTATAAACGTCAGTCATGGCATCACCCGGTTCACTCTTCATTTCTCTTCGATCTAACCGGATGTCATCCTCCCCAGGCACACTACCACCACTCATTGTCCCACCAGCATCAACGTCTACAGTGGCCTCGCCAACCACACCTTCTGTAAAGAAACATTCATTGAATACTATAATATATTGTATTTCCTTTAAAAATATGGTAACTACCAGTAATATTACAATACTTACAATTAAATCTGTCTACTGCATTAGTTATTTTTATCAGCTCCAGAACTGACTTGGGAGATAAAAGACATTCCAGAACAAAGGGGGAACTGCGAAACGCTGAGAAGAGAGAGCAAGAAGTGAGCACAGTCAAGCGACCAGGACAGCTCAGAAGGATCACGAACAGGTCAGAGGTGAAAACCTCAGCTCTGAATATGATGAAATGCCTCTTTCTGGAGTAAAGCCCCAGTGGTTCCCTGAAACTATCTTGATGAGATTGCTACATACTAAGGTGTCACATCAGTCACAGAGTTCTGTTTGGCCTACCAGGCATCAGAGCTAGAGCCAGAACATGATTTTGGTGCAGAGCCACACCCAAATCATACTCATACAGGGAAGGAAGATATGAAAACCCCTCGCCCTATAAAAGGAGACCTTCCTCAGAGGGAACCGGGAGCCACTTAACCAAATGTGACCCAAGGACCCATATCAAACTCCCTCCAAGATCTCCAAGATCCAGAAGCCACAGTCAAGGACCCTGGTGCAGAGCAAACATCTGTGCCCACTGCCCAGGATAGAAAAGCAGAGTCCAGGGAAGAAGCTTCAAATAAGCAGAAGGGCTGGATGAAAGGAAAACCCAAAAGTCTCGGCAGGACTACCCAACTTAACTGCCTCCGCACCCAATTCAGAAAGGGCAATCTCCAAGAGCTGGCTGCACCATATCCTGAGCTAAACCCTACCACAACCTGGAAACCCTCCTGATATGACCTAACCTCATCAAGAGGGTCAGAAAGAAGAGTCACATGGGGAGAGCAAATCTCACAGGCCTCAAAGTCGAAGGTGTCATCAACCCAACAGGCAGCTTGGCGGAGGCAGAATGAGTGATCGTAGTTTCGTGACACGGACAACGAGCAACCCCTCAAAGTTGCAAAGCTGGACAAGTTTGGGAGGGAATATCCATAGGACTGCCGAACCAGCAGGGGATTTCCACATCCTGAAGGGTAAAGCAAGCAAAACACTCAGCCACTGGGAATGCAATGCCAGACCTAAAAGACAACACTGCCTGGTTTACATGGCTGTGAAGGCTAATCTTAGTGTGCTGAAGGGAAGTCCCATGAATCACCAGTGTGCCCCGCCAGCTAAAGCCACACCTGACCCTGGTTAACGACAGAGAAGTCACGAGACCCCTCACTAATTCTGGGTGAAAGCCACCAGAAACGAGGAGAACCTCTAAGGAAGTGACTCCCAAACACTCCAAAGAAGACAACAACAATGCAGGGTCAGTGCTAGGGAGCATACAGGGAAGGTATTCCTGAGCACATGCAGCTCTATGCACTCTACAAGCCAGGCTTGTAGAGTGCATAGAGTAAGTGCATAGAGTAAGTGCATAGAGTGCATAGTTGTAGAGTAAACTATGCCATAGTTTACAAGAAAAGCCACCAAGGGCAAACACCACACCATTGATCTGAACAGACAGAACATTAGAGCCAGCACAGAAGAGAGGTCACCTGGTATGCATTACATCAGCAATAGAACTGACAGTTCAGAACCCAGCAGACAGTAAGCTACTCCCCCTTTCTCCCCCAAACGAGTGGGGTAGGTGAGGCAAATGAACTCCCGCTAGTTCCAAGAGAATTTGATCATTTGTTTATACTGATGGGGGTGTTCTGTAGGCGGGTTTCAAGGCCTCAGTCTCTTCTCAATCAAGCAGTGATTTACTTTGACTAGCTGACATTCTGGTTGCCTTCCCCCAGTAAGGTGGCAAAATGTCATTGCTCCCTGCTCCTCTATAAGGGAAAACCTGGGTGGCCAGGTTCTGGCTCTGGTCCCAGTAGACCTACAGAACTCCATAGCTGATACAACCTAGTAGATGGTACTATTTCAGCTTCAAAAAGCCACAAGGGGTTATCCCCCAGAAAAGTAGAGCAATACAACAAGCAGATGATCACTGTAAAACAAAGTCCAAAGGATGGCCAGCATTTAACTGATACCTGTTGTGATTGTTGGCAACCTTAAGAGCACACTAATAGTTAGTCAACATCAGCTCAGACTGACCTTGGAGAAATTAGATACATTTCTACAAGAAGTGCCAGACCAACTGACTGTAGTGAATGTGTGGGGCTACAGGCCGGCCCTATTGAATCAAGCTCTCAGAAGTCAAACCTGGCCCTAGGTTGGGCTAGGAGAGTAGAACTCCCAGAACCCACTCCAGCCACAACCCAGGCTGTTGGGCGGGGTCTCCAGCTACCTGATGGGGACCATCAGTACTAACAGATTCAAGCTAGTTTTGAATGAACCAATTGTTTGGATTGAATCTTTTGTAAAGTGATTTGCCTGTTTTTCAATGCTCCATATTGTCTGAACCTTGCAGTTGTCTGTAAAGCTTCACCGACTTTACGGATGCTTTCCCAATGAGGGTGACGATAATTGTCCCCTGCTCTCTCTGCCTCTGTAAGAGGGGCAGGAAGGTGGGGGGGGGGGGCTGACTCTGGTCTGAAGTAGGTCAAACAGGACTCCTGAGACTAATATGACCCAATAGCAGAGAGCCATCTCAGCAAGGTAGCTTCAGGAAGCCACCAAGGGGCTCCTCTCAGAAATATATGATGAAACATACTAAAATTGTTCTCCCATGAAATATCCTTGTAAAATAGGGTCAAGTCTTATATGCTGGCAAATAAAGTAACACTATGAAAAGGGAATACAGTATTAAGAGAGTGTCTACAAGAAGGATCCTTTTTAGAAGGATTAGAAGAGTTTAGAAGGGAAGAGAAGCCATTGAAGCAATATATATTAATACAGATTTATATCTGAAGCCGAGTCTTGGGAAAGGTGTAACAAGGCATCAGGAGATAAGACTGAAGCCAGTTCAATTTAGATTTGAAGCCAAAGCCTTTTGATTTCTAGATCAGCTAAGCATTAAACCCAAAAATGTCTTCACTACAGGAAATACTAACTGAGGGCTGAGGGCTCCTCTCAGTGGCTTCCAGAGCTAGTCACTGGGTTAGCAAGGGGAGGCACAGAGAGGACCCACTAGAAAGAGGTAAATTTTTAAGTGTACACATTTTTTCCTTCAAAATCCCTACTAATTTAATATTGCACAATTAAATCTTCCTCACATTCTCACAGCAACATCAGCATAATTGGCCATATTTGTATACCTGAGGTGTGACTAGCAGTGTTAGAGTCAGCATGGCCAGCAGCAGGGGCACTTGTTCGTTTCCGTCTTTTGCTTGGAGGGGAGTCAGGTCTAGAGTGATAACTTCCACCACCCTCGGCCACTATTTCTTCATCCTTGGACCCTTGGCTCGGGGCATAACCAGCAGAGGGACTACTTCGTCCTGAAGTCACCCCTCCGATTGCAGAACCACTGCTATAACTATATGACACATCTGGTCTGTGTAACTGTTGAAAATGGGAGAAAATTCAACCAAAATGCTTCATATAGTATTTTACTTCTAAAATGAACTCAATGCAATAGTTTTTCCTTTAACTTTACTGAATTTTCAATTTGAATACAGTACAACATCACTTCCTCAGAATAACCTTCAGCAAAATTTCTTTCAAAATCTTTCTTATAATGCAACACTCAAAGCAAGCTTTAAATCTATTAAACCCAATAACAGACTCTGTGAACAATTGATTGGACAAACACAAAAATATAGGGGGTGCAATATTCAGAAATACAATAATGAATTCAACAGTCTTCGATGGTTCTTGCCTTTGGAAGACCAAGAAACATTATAATAAAGATTTTTCTTAATACTATGCAGCAAATGACCATACACATTATCCATTGGCATCCTTATTCTATATGTCTACGCTCAGCAATTTTATCTATTTATAGGTTTCCACTGTACTCTCACATGAACCCTTAACTACTGTACTGCGCATTAGTTTCATATGACAAGTCCTGTGTGTAAAATAAATTATTCCCACCCCAACAAAAATATTTCTTACTAATATTGTTAAAATACATTCTCTGATGACAGGAAAGTAGAAAAAAAACAGCATTAAAAGCAAGAAAATGCCATTTTCTGGGTGAGCCCCGGAGGCTCCCCAAGCTTACCGGGCCGATATGTATGTACAGTATGTATTAGACAGTGGAATCAGTCGATTGGAGTTTTTGCCTACCAGGGACCACAAGCCAGAACCTGGACCCCTCAGAAAGGCATGAGGAGCAATAGCCTATGGATACCTCCATGTATTTGGAAGCATTCCATGTCTGCCATCGACCGGGGTTTGGTACCCATAAAGGTAGGCGTAACAAAACAAACTCCACATGGTAAAATTCATTATCAAAACCCTAACAGATAGGCAAAACTCCCAAACTAAAACAAGCAAATGTTACTAATGCCATCGTGCTGATTGTCCATGCAGCCCCCTTCCCCAACCCCTCACACTGGCCACTACAGCATTCAGTTCAGAGGTTGAGCATAAAAAACAACACGTAAAACTGCTGACCGGAGAGAGAAAGGGTGCCGAGGAGCCTCCGGGGCTCACCCAGAAAATGGCGTTTCATTACATTCAATGCTGGATTTCTGTGGGACGCCCCTTTGGCTCCCTGGAGCTACCTAAACAAAGAAAAGCGACAAGAGGGACTTACTCGGGAGGCAGCCACCACTTGCGTCTCAACTCGAAGTCAAGACAAATGGTTGCAACCCTGCGACCCAAAGCGACACATGCCCGACTATGGCCAGGAACGAAAGAGCAAAGCTCAACCCCCGCAAACACAACTAGGTGAATATTAGGTGAATACATCCTCCTCAAGCCTGTCCGAGGTCAGCTCGAGAAGGGAAAAAAACGCATGACTGAGTCCAGATGCCCACAGGAGAGTAAATCCTCAGCTTCCAAAGCAACCGAAAGTGAGGGAACCTGCACGTGAAGCTGCACAACACCAACATCTTGAGGAAGCACAGGGGTGAACAAACACGTGTTAAGATACTCAAACTCGCCCCCCCAGGTAAACCTGTACCACAGTGGAAGTCTCCTGCTAATCAAGCATGCGGGTCCGTCAAAACCCATGTGCCACACTCCCAATGAAAAAGGTCAGTCTGCTAACTAGGAAGACTCCGGTACCTCATAACGCACAGGGGGGTAATCACCGAGGAGTAATCCGGGTCTCACAGGAGGTAAGCTACGAAGCCCTACCAAACCTTTTTAGGCGGGATTTGAGAAGCCAAAAACCTCCAGAAGGAAGGAACTGAAGAACCCCAGGGGAACCCAGAACTGAACCCAGGGAGGAGCCAAACCCAAATCATATTCATACAGGGAAGGAGGGGTATGAAAACCTTTCCCTTTGCAACAACAAGCCCCGCGATGAGGGTACCAACACCCAAGCAGGGTCAAACAGGGCCCAGGCCCCCAAGTCAACTTCTCCCCAGCTCCCGAGATCCTTCACACCAAGACCCGGGGCAGAGCCGTCCTCCACACCCTCTGCCCCTAAAGAAAAAGCAGGTGTCCAGGGGAAAGGCCAAGAAGAAAGGGGGGTCTGTTGGTAGGACCCGGAAGCCTCGGCAGGAGGAGTATGCTCGAATGTCTCCGTTGCCGATCCAGAAGGGGCAGTCCCCAAAGCCACCCAAGTCTCACTACCATCTAAACCCCACCCCGACTCCGAAACCCTTAGATGTTTGGGAGCTGGGGGAGAGGGAAGGGGGAGAGCAGGATTAACAATAACAACAGGGGAAGGACATGGAAGTGCAGACGAAACCAAAGTCGAAGCGACTAACGCCCCCAAGTCCGGGTCCCTATAACCCAAGCTGGGCAGTCTTGGGGCATCTGGGTGAGCAACCAACCTAGCGTGCTGCAACAACCAATATCAAGCATGCAACGCCGAAGTAGCCTGTACCCACATCAATATCAGAAGATTGGTTAATCTGGAGCACGAGCAAGGAGCAAGACTCTGGGTCAAAGATGTCATTGACCCAACAGGCAGCATAATGGAGGCAAAACTGGCTAGTGTCACCATGAGACAAGGGGACAGAGCAACCTTCAAACTCGCACTTGGCGAGTTGGAACCCAGAGGACACATCCATTGATCCAAAGAGCCCCAATGGGGCTTTCCAGGACCTCTTAGGCTGACTGCTAAGGGAAGGCCAGGCAAGGTATTGCTAACCGGTTGGGCCCAAACAACCAAGAGAACTGCTAAAAACCTGAACCACTGCGTCGTGTACAAGCACAGGGGCCTAGCGGAGGACCATTAATACAACAGAAGGATGGATAAACCAAGATGGCAGACCCCCACCAGGCAAAATAAACAAAGAAAAATAAAACCCCACAAAAGCACAACGTTCCCAGGAGGAACAGAACCAGCCACTGTGTATAATGGGAGACAAGCTGCATAATACCTTGCAACGATACTAATTCCTAAACAAGGCTAAACAGTGGCAACAAAAACCCTAGCTGGCCCCAAGGGCAGGCAATTGCTGCACAGCAAAACTCCCCTACAGAAGCAGTTCCCAAACGTCCTACGGAAAATACCCACAAGACGCAAGGGCAGTACTTACAGGGGGCTTAGGGAAAGTGGCTCTAAGTGCATGCAGCCATGGTACTGATGAATTACTCCTGGCCTACGCACGACACACAGTAGAATACACCACAAGACACAGAACTGCAAGAGCCACAGGCCAGAGTCGACGACCTCCACAGTCCACATCAGCCAAGGAACTGAATGCTGTAGCGGCTGGCACGGGGTGTGCACAGATGATTGGCACGACGGCGTTAGTGAATTTGCTTGTTTGCTTGTTTTAGTTTGGGAGTTTTGCCTATCTGTTAGGGTATTGGTAGCAAATTTTACCAAGTGGGGTTTGTTTTGTTACGCCTACCTTTCTGGGGTGTCAGGCCCCGGTCAATGGCAGACGTGGAATGCTTCCAAGAACATGGGGTTTCCATAGGCCATTGCTCCTCGTGCCTCTCTGAGGGGGCCAGGTTCTGACTCGTGGTCTCCAATAGGCAAAAACTTCAATCAACTGATGCATGGTCTAATACATACATATCAGCCCAGTAAGTTTCTGGAAGCCGTATGGGCTCCCCAGAAAAAAATATTGTATGTGACATACTTTGGATATGATGGGGCAAGGAAGTTGAGCAATTTATAGGTGTTGAGTGAGTACTCGCCCAGCGACGGTAACCCCAGCAGCTTTGTGGCTGCAGGAGTTGCTGCCAATATAATTTTGCTTAATTATTTCAGTGTCTCTGAATGGTTTTTTGTCTTTTTTTCCTGTAATATTATTCCATAATGTGTAATTTGAAAAAATTTATGTAAACAAATGTGTGGGACATTGATATGCTCAAAAATATGGTGTGCATGTCTTAGTCACATATCATATTTTTAAAACTATAATACTCAAGTATTTTTGCTCTTATTACACTATATACACACACACACGATATATATAATTCCTTTTTTATGCACCATTAAGAACCATTAAGCATTTATAGTGAAAGTAATACCCTTATAACCAGTTATTAGTATTCAACTTGGTCCCGCATTTATACATGAAGTTGTAACAGCACGCATTGAATTTATCATATTTTCTTCATATTGCAAATGCTTTTACCATGGTTTTTCCAAGTGTAATGATGCATTGGGCTGTCAATAATAATATTTGCATCATAGAATGTGTAGAATTTTGGAACTTACAGATATTACTGAGTGATACAAATACTGGATATCTATGAGTACCAATATTTTATTCTTTGAACAATAAAACATACAGTTTTGCCATTATTTCACTATACACACACATCATATATCTATCAACATTTCTATAAACCATAATGAACCAATAAACAGTTTTGAAGGGTGCGGTTATGAAATCTAAACAGAGCATGGAGCCACACGATAAGTACAGTGGCAGCAAACGTCACCAAAGCTAGAAAATGCTTTCAATATACACTCATTGCCAAGACTAGCTGCAGAACTGCTATTATTATCGCATTTTTGTCACTACATCTTGAATATGAATTCATTTCCACAAGATTATATCGTAAAGGAACATGAGGTCGTTTCATGATTCATAGATACCCCAAACTTCAGCTGTGTGCTGTGAATGTCTGCCTCCCACTGTGAACATCATAACTAGCATTGTGTTCATCGATATTTGAGAATTTTTCATGGTGAAAATCAGTCAAGGATCATCTATGACACCTCATCACAAAATAATTGCAGTTGCTTATATTAACATTCATTATTAGTGGTGCTGTGGCCCCACTCTGCACAGCTGTGCTGTGAGATCCAGCTGTGTGTGCCAGCCTTGGTCGCTCTGGCAGTACTGAGGCTCTCACAGCCAGGAGGGATGTGGACAATTTTTTTCCATAATGGCATCTGTTTACTGGCGTCCTGAGGAACAGGATGAGAGCCCCTATTTACTGGCAGGAGTTATGAATCCTACGATATACTAACAAACATGACATGCTGGTGTGCACACTCGCTTTCCCCATGATATCACGGTGTGCGCAGTACAGTGGTTTATCCATTAATCTTACTACTGTATATATCTTTCAACAGCACCAACCATGTACAGGGTGCCTCTTGTCCCCATAGATGGTTATTGCTTTTGTTTGTACAGTATTCATACTAGAGCACCACCTGGTTATTCTCACACTACAGCACCACCTGGCTGCTCCCACACTACAGCACCACCTGGTTATTCTCACACTACAGCACCACCTGGCTGCTCCCACACTACAGCACCACCTGGCTACTCCCACACTACAACACCGCCTGGCTACTCCCACACTACAGCACCGCCTGGCTACTCCCACACTACAGCACCGCCTGGCTACTCCCACACTACAGCACCACCTGGCTACTCCCACACTACAGCACCACCTGGCTACTCCCACACTAATCTTACATATATACAGTAACAAGATCTCACAGAATACAGTTTGAAATCAAATAGAGATTCACACGACAAGATGGAATGCTGCTAAGCCTGGATGCTGTATGAAGGTCATTTGAATTAGAGCAAGAGACATCAGTAGGAATGATGTAGCTTTAAGCTTCGTGAATGAAACTATAATAAATGATCTAAACGATAACTGAACTGTTAATTTATTTGCAATTTGTCAGAGAACTCACCCCAGTCTGATCCATATCATCAGAGGAACCAGCGAGTCCACGGATCTTCAGGTTTTCTGCAGTCTTAAGAAAGGCTGCTAGTTGATCTTGCGCTATGCTCACTTCGCCATTGTACATAAATTCTAATAGTCTCTCCAGTTCTACATGACCCACATCTTTTAGAATAACAATGGGGTGCTGGCACGGGTTGGCCTATGGAGAAAATTAAATTTCACTCAATAATTATAAATGTACAGTACAACCATTTATGAATAATTTTTTTATTTGATTTGTGAGATGATTTGATAAGCAAATCTAAAGTGCAAATATATCTTCAAAACACTAAAATAATAATTTCAAGAATAAAAAGTGATTTTATTTTTAATAAATAAAATAATATTTTTGGATAGTTTTTACTACTGTATTAATTTATATTTTTCTAATAAGACAATTATAATAAAACCAGTGTTGAATGTAATGAAACGTCATTTTCGAGGTGAGCCCCAGAGGCTCTCTGGAGCTATTGGACTCATACACGCTATATTAGTCTGGGGCATCAGTCAATTTGAATTCAGCTTACCGGGGACCACAAGCCAGAACCTGGCCCCCCCCTCAGAGAGGCAAATGGAGCAATGGCCTATGGAAAACCCCTGTGTATTTGGAGGCATTCATGTCTGCCATCGACTGGGGTTAGCACCCAGAAAGGTAGGCATAACAAAACAGACCCCACATGGTAAGAAAATTGCAACCAAAGACCAAACAGAGGCAGAACTCTCCTAAATTTAAAGGAACATGCAAACGTCATACACCCTTCGCCAACCAGGAAGGGTCAGCCCCCAAAGCCACCTAAATCTCCCTACCATCTAAACCCTGCCCCGACTCCGAAACCCTCAGACGTTTGGGAGCCCTCCCCTCCCCCTAGGAGAGGGGAGGTGGGAGCCCCGGACCCCGCCCCTCTATGCCGGCTACTCACACTTCCAGTTCGGAGGCTGAGTATGAAAACAAAACAAAAACCGCTGACCAAAGAAAGGTGAGAATACCAGGGAGCCTCCGGGGCTCACCCAGAAAATGGCGTTTCATTACACTCGATGCTGGTTTTCGGTGGGAGAGCCCCTTCAGCTCCCTGGAGCTAGACATGTAAAAGAGGGACATACCCAAGAGGCGGCCACCACCCGCTCATCAACTCAAAGTGAGACAACTGGCTGCAACCTGCGACCTAAAGCCACACAAAAACGACCAGGACCAGGAACATTTACCAAATAATGGGTGGCCAGGACCCTGTTCAACTTCCAAAACCCTGTGCTCGAATTTCAGCCCAAGGCATGTTGACGAATACAGCAGCCAAAGCAGTAAACTTACGAACATAATGGGCACGAGGATAGACCGCACGCTGACTAGACTTAATAACCCTGTAGACGACCTGGGAGACCCGAGCCCTGGAACAGGGAACGAGGGAAACCAGATCAACCCAAAGCGTGTCCCCGACCACAGTAGCTGAGGCAAAGAGCCGCAACCGAACACAACATATGATGCACCCCCAGCTTGACCAACCAAGCATCAATTACCCAAGGCACCCTCCGAACAGCTACTGTCTCATTCTTCGCCAGAAAAGGAGATAGCTGCAACCAAATAAACCGACCATCAGGACCGAAAGAGCAGAAACCCCTGCACTGAAGGAGAGCATTAAGCTTACAAACCCGATCCCCAGGGGTCAATGCCAACAGAAATAGCACCATGGAAAAACAATCCTGAACCGAAGGGGCCACCACAAACCAAAGAGGAGAGAAAAGAAAGCATCCAGTCCAAGGACCAGGACAGCTCAGGGGGCGCATTAGCAGGCCGGAGGTGAAACAGAACAGGAGGAGGAGAGGAAGGATCAAACCCCCCAGAAAAGAAGAGACCAAGGTGAAAAATCATACCCAAAGCTGTAAACTTCCAAACATCATGTGCCCAAGGTTAGACAGCAGACTGGCTAGAATTTAAGATCTCGTAAATGACTCAATACAAATGAGACACCTTTACCCCCCAGAAACCAACTAAGAAACAAAAAACCAAAGATGCCATCAGAAGACAATCGACTCGTTCCTTACCAAAAGACAGACATTGAATATAATGAAACGTCAATTTCTGAGTAAGCCCTGGTGGCTCTTTGAAGCTACTATACTGATACAGTGCCAGACTACAAGGTACCATCATCATGGAGTTCTTATTGACCTACCGGGGAACGTGAGCCAGAACCCTGCCCCTTCAAAGAGGCACAGGGATCGGAGACAATTATGTATTTATTTATGGCACCACCAGAGAAAGCACCCAGAAAATCTGTGAGACAAAACAAACCACTGAAAAAATCTGTGAAAAAAATCCACCCAGAAAATCTGTGAGACAAAACAAACCACTACTGGCTTTAAACGAGACCACAGCCTCGAGACCCAGCAAAAGAATTCCAGTTAATGTAAATAAATTATCAAAATCTCTTGAAACTAGTGCAAGCTCATTTGCCCCACCTCCTCTATTTGTTTAAAGGGAGGGGAGGAGACAGCTCCTGGTCAGACAGCTCTCCACCCTCAGTTCTATGATAGATGTAACCCCCCCCCCCCCAACGACCTGGAAGGAGGGAGGGGTGTTAGGGAGCCACCGAGGTTCATCCAGAAATTAGTGTTTCATTACACCAATTTTCTGGTTTTCTGAGGGGGAGCCCCTTGTTGCTTCCTGACATTAACTACCCACAGAGAAGGATAACAAATGGGCACACACCATGGATGAGGGAGCACTGCAGGAACTAAAATGAAGAAGAGACTCCCAGCAGAGAAATACACCCCAATGCCACACAAGGGTGCTGGGGCATGGGCACACTGACAAGATACTGGGCCGCCAGAACCCTGCTTGACCTCCAAAACCCCTGCGCCTGAATACAGGCCCAGGGCATATTTACAAACACAGCCGAGAGAATGGCATATTTCCAACCAATTGGGTACGAGGGTAGACTACAGGCTGGCTAGACTTAATAACACTGCAAATAATCTAAGAAAGATGAGGCTTGAAACAGGGGGACCAATGTCAGAGCATCAACCCACAAAGCATTCAACATTTTTGGGAGTGTAGAACGGAATTCAATTTACATTATTTCTTATGAGAAAATTCGCTTCAGTTTACGAATTTAACCCGAATTTACGGGTTATGAACTGTCTCTGGGAACGGATTAAATTCGTAAGCTGAGGTACCACTGTATATACAATGCATATTAATTGAAAATAAATAATAAAATGGCTTTCACTGTGGCTTGTTTCAAATATACGGCAAGACATAGCGAAAGAGTTAAAAATATTACATTATCAAAAATGACAATACAAGTTCATGTTGACACTAGAAGAAAAAAGAAAAGTTTCCTTAAAATATGAATGAATACTAAAACAGTTCAATACATACCCTGAGTAGGGCCCGGAAATATGGAGAGCACGCGGAAAGCACCATTTTGTGGGCTGAGTAGGAGTGACCATCACAGGCAACAGTAACATCAACAAAATCCTCCTCATCCCGTAACGACTGGAACGCCGTAACAATCTTGACTGTATAGTCATTCCAACGAAGTGAGTAGTGCTGTTCTGACCCCATGGTGTCCTAGATGTAGGTGGCCGTGGCGTGGTGTTGTAGCTGCTTCTAAGTGGGCCACCACCACCTTCATCTACCTCCCCTCCTCCTCCCCCTCCCCACCACCTCCCCCTGCTGTTGCTGCTCCACCTACTGCCACCTGCTGCTGCCTGGCCGCCCGTCCTGCTGCTGGGACGCTGCCTACTTGGCACCACCACCCACACACCTATGGAACAGGCACACAAAAGTAAAACTCTGAACATATTTATAAAGTAGAAGTAGCAATGAAAATTCCATTATAGTGCACAATTTAGTCTACAATGATGCTTGCAACAAAATGTATTAATAAAAATACACATATGACTTGATAATAGTCCAGGATGGACCGAAACGTTGTCACTTCTTCATCTTCTGGTGTGTGGTTTGGTCATCGTAAAAATTACACACAGGTAATCCCTGACAAAAAATTCTTACAATTCATAATCCTTTTATATAATACAGCATTTCATATCAATTTTGTTACAGTAGGAATTCTCATTTTCACCAGAGACCTGTAAAATAATGCCCTTATTTTCCAGGTACTGTACTTTATATTAGTCTTAGGTAGCTTAAAGATAATTTCATTCAACCTTTACATAACATACCTTACATCACAGAAAGCTGTAATTTTACTAATTCATGATCAAAGAACCAAATAGTATGTGTGTCCTGCATATACTATACTATACACTATACTCCCATCAGTCGACCCAGCCTTCACAATGGGGACCCAAGGCCCAACCAGCACCCTCGCCGCCCCTTGCATCATGTGCCGACATTATCCCTGGTCTTATACGACTAGCGGAGAGGCTTGCCGGACCAGAAAACCACCGATTTGTCAGGGAACTGAATGTGCTGTACTTAGCCAATAACCCCATCACACCCCCTGATGCAAGTCTCACTATGTTCCTACCACATAGGGAACTTCTACAAGGTTGATCTCAACTCATACTTCAGCTCCACTAAAGACCCAGGCTGCACAAACAGCAGCATCCTCCAATCCTACTACTACAATCCTACAACCCCAAATGCTACCACCATCACTGTCTCAGCAGAGGCGCTCGCAGACGTGCTCTCTCCGACCACCAACAACACTCACCAACATGACCGAACCAGTTTCTACCACAACTCATCGACTCCAAAGCCAACCTCAGGCTGTGAGACCAAAACCAACAACGGACTATGCCACGGACTCCTCAGACCAGGAACTCTCAGTAATGGCTCCATTGCCGTGACACTTCCCCTACTCCACATAAAATCTCCTCATGGAGGCCACATCGCCGAACTTCAATGACAGCATAGTCATGTCAACTCGCAGCAAGACTCAGACTAAGAAAAAACGGAAGACCTAGAGGCATTCACAAATTCACCAGCTCTATAGTTGGTAGAACTTGCCCTCCCGAGACTCCCCCCCCATTCCCCCCCCCCCCCCAAAAAAAAAAAACATCAGTCCATTTACAGATAGATCTCTAGTATCAGTTATTGGTAATGGCTCTGAAAATCCTCCACTTATGGGCTAATCATGCCCATGACACCTTTTGGGTAGCTTCATATTTATCAATCAATCAATCAATGGATGATGTTGATGAAAGGTGGGTGGTGTTGATGAAGGGTGGATGGTGTTGATGAAGGGTGGATGGTTTTGATGCAGGGCAGATGGTGTTGATGCCATACGGTGAATGGTGTTGATGCCATAAGGTGGATGTATTGTTGTAGTATTGTGAATGGTGTTGATGCCATATGGTGAATGATGTTGATGTTATTTGTTAGATGTATTGATTCAGTATGGTGCATGGTATTGATGCCACATGGTGAATGGTGTTGATTCTGTATGGTGGATGTACTGATGCAGTATGGTAAATAATGTTGATGCAGTATCGTAAATGTGTTGATGCCGTATCATGATGTACTGCTGCTGTATGGTGGATGTATTGATGCCATATGGTGGATGTATTAATGCCATATGGTGGATGTATTGATGCCATATGGTGGATGTATTAATGTCATATGGTGGATGTAGTGATGCCGTATGATGGATGTAGTGATGCCGTATGGTGGATGTACTGATGCCGTATGGTGGATGTACTGATGCCGTATGGTGGATGTACTGATGCCGTATGGTGGATGTACTGATGCCGTATGGTGGATGTACTGATGCCGTATGGTGGATGTACTGATGCCTTATGGTGGATGTACTGATGCCGTATGGTGGATGTACTGATGCCGTATGGTGGATGTACTGATGCCGTATGGTGGGTGTACTGATGCCGTATGGTGGGTGTACTGATGCCGTATGGTGGATGTACTGATGCCGAATGGTGGATGTACTGATGCCGTATGGTGGGTGTACTGATGCCTTATGGTGGATGTACTGATGCCTTATGGTGGATGTACTGATGCCATATGGTGGATGTACTGATGCCGTATGGTGGATGTACTGATGCCGTATGGTGGATGTACCGATGCTGTATGGTGGATGTACTGATGCCGTATGGTGGGTGTACTGATGCCGTATGGTGGATGTACTGATGCCGTATGGTGGATGTACTGATGCCGTATGGTGGATGTACTGATGCCATATGGTGGATGTACTGATGCCGTATGGTGGGTGTACTGATGCCTTATGGTGGATGTACTGATGCCTTATGGTGGATGTACTGATGCCATATGGTGGATATATTGATGCCACACAGTGGATGTATTGATGCAGTATGGTGGATGTTATTGATGCAGGGTGGTGTAAGCCTGACGATCATGTTGAAAGATGGTGTATGGTGCCCAATTTGCTAACTGTAGGTAGTAACTTAAGTGATTGTTACCTATCTACCGCTGCCCACTGGATGGGGGGCGGTGTGTAGGACAAACATCAGTTGTGACACTAGCTCTCCACATGTCAGTTGCTTAATTTGGAAACTGTACTTGTGGTCGATCTCGAACCCAATGATGATGTGACGACTTATACTGAATTTTGTAACTAGCTCATCAAGATTGTAACTTGCTTAGCTAAATGAATTGTGGGGTTCAGTCCCTGAGCCCATTATATGCCTCTGTAACCCTTTCTACTACCGCCCACAAGATGGGTATGGGGTGCATAATAAATGAACTAAACTAAGTGATCCATACATTACGAACAAGACATCACCTATGAGAACACTGTAGTGAAAAATTCGCAAACTTTACTGTAGTTTACCCAGCCACTTGGACTGGACGATAGAGCGACAGTCTCGCTTCATGCAGGTCGGCGTTCAATCCCCGACCGTCCAAGTATTTGGACACCATTCCTTCCCACCGTCCTATCCTAAAGCCTTATCCTGAACCCCTTCCAAGTGCTATAAAGTCGTAATGGCTTGGGGCTATCTCTGATAATTAACAAATTCACTGTAGTTACAGTGTAACACAGCAATGTTCCGATGGTTGGAGATATCCAGCGTAGACAAGCTATGGCGTAATGTATTGTAAATTAGGCGACAAGGCGGCCTTAACCTTAAGTATAAACGTGCGTTAATAACACTGATAAGACCAACACGACCACTAGTATTTTGTCATTGGAGTTGTGTGGACCTCTGCGGACTTGTGTGTTAGCACGTGTGCGGACGTATTCGGACGTGTGGACATGTGTGGACGTGTGTGGACATGTGTGGACGTGTGTGGACATGTGTGGACGTGCGCAGCTGTCCTAAACGTGCCTCAAACACCTTGATACCGGCAGCTACTGTGGTGTAGGGATAAGGTGGTTACTGTGACAGCTGGGAAAACTAATGCTGCTGCCGATGATATGGCTGTTAATGCTGCTAAAATGGCTGTTTTTGGTGCTGATATGACTATTGCTGCTGCTGACATGGCTGTTACTGCTACTGACATGACTGTTACTGCTACTGACATGGCTGTTACTGCTGCTGACATGGCTGTTACTGCTGCTGACATGGCTGTTACCGCTGCTGACATGGCTGTTACTGCTGCTGACATGGCTGTTACTGCTGCTGACATGGCTGTTACTGCTGCTGACATGGCTGTTACTGCTACTGACATGGTTGTTATTGCTGTTGACATGGCTGTTACTGCTGCTGACATGGCTGCTACTGCTGCTGACATGGCTGTTACTGCTGCTGACATGGCTGTTACGGCTGCCGACATGGCTGTTACTGCTGCTGACACGACTGCTACTGCTGCTGACATGGCTGTTACTGCTGCTGACACGGCTGTTTTTGCTGCTGACTCGGCTGTTACTGCTGCTGACACGGCTGTTTTTGCTGCTGACACGGCTGTTACTGCTGCTGACACGGCTGTTACTGCTGCTGACACGGCTGTTACTGCTGCTGACATGGCTGTTACTGCTGCTGACACGGCTGTTACTACTGCTGACACGGCTGTTACTGCTGCTGACACGGCTGTTACTGCTGCTGACACGGCTGTTACTGCTGCTGACACAGCTGTTTTTGCTGCTGACACGGCTGTTACTGCTGCTGACACGGCTGTTACTGCTGCTGACATGGCTGTTACTGCTGCTGACATGGCTGTTACTGCTGCTGACATGGCTGTTACTGCTGCTGACATGGCTGTTACTGCTGCTGACATGACTGTTGCACCTGCTGATAATGCGGCTGCAGCTGCCTGCTGTCGCCCCCACCCTCCTCCCCCATCTACGGAAAATACGTCAGATCACCCCTCCAGGTTCCACGTAAACATACAAGCAAGAACAACGATCTGCTGTTGCTGTTGCTGCTACTGCTGCTGCTGCATTTGAGGGCATTTACTTACCAGCCCCTCATTTAACCCTAGCGCCCTGGGTTACCTAGCAACGCTGAGCTGTTCTTGAAACATGTTTAGATAAATATAAAATCAAAGGGGAGTTGAGAAAGAGGGGGTGGGGGAGGGAGGGAGGGGAGGGAGGGGGAGGGGTAGAGAGAGAGAGAGGGAGGGAGGGAGGGGGAGGGCGGGAGGGAGGGAGGGGGGGGGGGAGAGAGAGAGAGAGAGAGAGAGAGAGAGAGAGAGAGAGAGAGAGAGAGAGAGAGAGAGAGAGAGAGAGAGAGAGAGAGAGAGAGAGAGAGAGAGAGGGGGGAGGGAAGACTGACTAAAGGTGAGAGAAGATGGAAAGTTGTGAGAGGGAGATTGCTCTCCTGGTGTTTCCCGACTCCTAGCCACGTACCCCCTCTCTCTCTCTCTCTCTCTCTCTCTCTCTCTCTCTCT